ATAATTCTGAGTTGTTGTTCTGGTTTTCTTCTTTTTATGTACAGTGTAACCCGGATATAAGAGAGTTGTCGGGACCGGAGAAGAAGTCTCTTATATCCGGGTTACACTGTACCATGTCCCTGATGGCCCTCAAGAACTTCCTTTTTGCTGTAGCCCATAGTACAGCTCGGTGAGTAAGTGATGCGCTGTTTCCCTCTGTACCTCTTGCCTTCAGTATGTCCTATGGGTGTCAAATTTTTCAAGCTCTCTTTCCTCATATGTCCCAGAAGCTTCAACTGTATTTTTCTGATTGTAAATATAATTGTCCTTTCCGTATCTATTTTTTTCGTCGTTACTCACATGTTCGGTCCATGGTATTCTCAGTATCCTTCTGTAGAACCATATTTCTGTTGCCTGAAGCCCCTTCATCTGTGACGAGATTGTTCAGAATTCACTAACATATAGTAGGACCGATATTGCTTAAGTTTAGTACTCTTTCCTTTATTTCTAACGAAATTTTCATGTTTCTTAATACTTTGCTTAGCTTTTGGTAGGCATCTTTTGCTATCCCAGTGCGTCTTCGGTGTCGAATTTTCCGTCCACTGTAAAAACACTTTCTAGATATTTTAAATTATTGTACTTCTGACATCTCGGCTTGTGTCACTTCCCCAACACCGCAATGTAGCTTTCCTGATCCTTTTCTATCAATATTTTCAGGGTAATTGAAGTTAAGCAAAATCGTATCTAGTCAGTATCTTGAAGGGTGACCGTTTTTTTGAATACCAGGTACTGTCAGCTTGGATGTGCGGGTGGTGTAAAGGATAACGGCTCGGAATTTTAACTGGACAGCCGAGTTCCACATCCAGTTGGGTTCGTTATATTCTCTGACGCGCAAATACCTTTTAGAAAAGGTATGAATCCACCTCTCCCCAGCTATGGGTTAATTAGTAAGACTTATATCACGAAAATCATTATCCCCCGCTTAAAAAAAAAATGAAATAAATAAAACAGTATGCACTTGCATGAGGCTGAGGGCAGCCATCTGCCTTGAAACTAGGGCTCCTATCACGAATGTCGACACATGGCCCGTCTGAATTGGCCGTTGTCGAGAAAGACAATTTATCAAGTATTAATAGAAGGGGAATTGATGGTGGCTATCACTCCTTATGTGTTAGGTACATTAATTGAAATATTTCAATAATAAAGTGATGTCTCTCAACTTGCTGTTTTTGTTGATCATTGCTCCTAGGATGACACATGTATGATTACTTCACCATAATGTATGTCTGTTGCGGTGACAAGGAGATGTCTATTAAGTATTCCGTTTATTAAGCTGTCGTGCGCGCACTGAAGGCTACATGGTTCGTACATCTGAAGGATAGGTTTTTTTTGTGTCTCGGAAGCTAACTGTGTAACAACGTGAACCCGTTGCGTCACAATAAGAAACGCTTCAGGTTTGTGTTTACAAGCCGTTTTCGCGTATGGATGAATTTCACAGTGAGATATGTATTTGTCTCATCATTTCGCTTAATTTAATTAAGCATCAACTTAAGATCAGGTGACGAGAGGGATACTGTCTTAGTCTACCGTTGTGAAAAGGAGGTAAATGTTGCACGATTGTGTCATGTGAGAAAAGGTAATTTCGAGTATAAATCTTGAGCTAACTAATTAAGAAAAAAAGATTCTGTGCTTCTGAAAAGCACTCAGCAGACCAGCCAGAGGCAAGATAAAATTGTGTTGCTTTTCTTACGTTAAGCTAGTTTAAATTAGCTAAGAAATTTATGCTTCTTTGTCTTTTTTCAATTATTTTTCTTTTCTTTTTCTTCCCTGCATTCGTTTCTCAGTTACCCTCACCGATGATTAAAATCAGCATTGGGAATATTCGACTTCTATTTATATTTTCTTCTACTTATTAACCTTTCTACCATATTAGATTGTAACATGGCGCATATCTGTAAATATATTTTGTTTAAGCCACCGGTGAATTTTGATTTCAATTTACAGTATATACAGAGTGGTTCGAAAGTCTTGTTACACCTTTCCAAAAAGTACTGAGAACAATAGAACACGTAATACAATAATACAAAGCACATCTACTGGATTCAGTTCATTCACTTTCATTGATGCTGTCGCACATCGAAAAGGTCTGTATGAACATCCATCATTTTCTTGATGATGCGACGCCATATCTTGTGTGATATTTTCCGAAGCTGCGCTTTGTTAATTGTTGCAAAGCCTTTGCGAACGTTACCTTTCAACTGATGGGTATTCTGGTATCGTTCATGTGAAACTCTCTCCTTGATGATAACCCACAGAGCATTGAAATAGAGAAATATATTATATAGAATGACAAGACCTTTCGGACCACCCTGTAGATTTTTTTTGATTTTAAATATGTATTGAGTTAGAATTTTTATAGTGGATGTAATTTTTTTAAAAATGATTGTTGCATGAAATATTCAGATTAAATACGGTGTTATGATAAAAGCAAGAGTTAAGAATACTTGGCTTACTAAAAGATCCGATAAAAGATAAACCGAAAACTTTCCCCAAATCTCTCGGCCGAGTGTCATGTTTTTTTTTTTGTTTTTTTTTTGCATTTTGCGCATATAACTGTTTATGTTGGATTCCTTACGAATCCTTGTTACTTCACAGAAAATTCACATTCCACAAAATATCATTACAGCCTGTGCCAAATAAATGTATTTTCAATAGACAGCAACTATACCGCTAAAATACACATCAGTACACACAATAGACAATTCGACTGAGGAAGGCATGAATTCCCCCTATTCATCCCGAGGTATGGATTAAATAGTACGACTTATATGAGTAAAATCATTATCTTAAAATAATTCTTATGCTCTAAAAATATTTTCTGGCTTTAAATAATCTTCAAAACGTTGATAAGCTGTAAAACAAACCAATCAATCGACAATACAGACACGAACCATGTTATTGAATAGACATTAAACATTGACCTTTTCGTAAAGCCATTGAAGTTTAAAGTAATGCTATTTAACGAAAACTCTTCACCTTTGTCTATGCCTTCTTTGCATATAAATCGCAGTTTGACACTAAAAGGCCTTAAATTTGCTTTTCAATTTGCTGTTTTAAACGTTAGTGAAAAGCGTGGAAGGAAAATGATAATGTAACAGTCACGAATCATTTTGCTTACACACGCAAATTTTAAAAACTAAACACATAAATTATATGAAATATTTGGAGGAGAATAATGCTCATATTTCTATCAATCATCAAAACAAGCAGTATTTTTGTTCCAGTGTTCCAAGACGCCAAACTATTTGCAAGCAAAAGCAGGATTTACCAGATTCAATGATGTCCACTCTGCACAAGGCTCAAGAGTCACTCGAGGTAGAGGATTACAGACTAAGAAGTACAGATTTTTGTGATCGAGGAAGTATCCTCTTGGGAATCGGTTCCACAAAGTAGCGCGGTTCGTAGGAAGAAGCATGTCGAGTGGATCCGAACACGAAAAGAATGAATGATTCGCTACAATGTGTGTGTCATGGCGGATCTTAGCCGTGAAGGTTAGAAGGTCGGAACACACACCATGGAAATAGCGATAGAGTAACGAGAGACGTACGACATTTCGCCTGCGAGAAAAGGGGTTGTAGGGTGGAAAATAATTCGTTACCCACAAGGAGGCGGAGACGCGTTTACACCCTATTTAGACTGGAAAATGAAGTCTGGGCAGTCCCTGTCTATATATGACAACAGTACTCCATTTTTCGACCTGATCTGGCCCTTGTAAATGTAGAGGATAACAAGAGGAGTCAGGTACTTACTGGAGCGGTACAGGGAACCGACCATTTTTCCAGCATCTTTCGTGAAGGATCCTATGTACATTTTTTGAAAATAATTTTTACCTATTATAGTTTCGTTTGTCGCCTATTTTCGGTCCGATGCCCCCCCCCCAAATCTGATCAAACGTTAGAATCTTTTTTCGTAAGTTTTTTTAGTCAGGCCAATAACTTTTCAGCACCACTTTGTACACGTATCAAACTTATACCAATAAAAACAATAAAAGTAGAAAGGAGTACAATTAAATTGACTGTAAATAAAATGGCCGGAGAAACAATGAATTGCGACAAATTTGTTTCTAAGGATTAAAAGTAAATAGAATATAAACTGCTGGTAAAAAAGGCAGCGTATTAGGTAGGGTATTGTAGGGATTAACAGGGATTATCTAAAGACTATAATTTTGGAAAATTTCATTTAAATCCTGAAAGTAGAGATTTATTCGGGAATATCTCGGAAGTGTGTGGGTATTTATACCCCCCACCCCTTATATATAAGCCTGTTTAATGGATGGCAAACCTTTCAAGCTAATAACAGTGCTCTCATGTAAATATCGGGTTTCAAGTGAAAAAAAAAAACCTTAAACGGTGTATCGAGTTTAAATTTAAAAAACAGCTGAAAAAAATCTACACACACACACACAACAGAATATACAACGTTTCTTTAATTACAAAGGAGGGAGGGGCAATTTTTAGGCCCTGAACAAAAATAAAACCCTTATTTTTCTATGCCATCAATTAAATTTTTAAAAAATGACGACGCATCAATTCTATGGCATATTAACAGAGAAAAACGATTTTACAGGGAATAAATGCTGCATCAACAGGTGCCCTTCAAAATCAGTTTTAATTTATTCTTCATTTTGACAGTTTTTTTTTGGGGGGGGGTTATTGCTAGATTTGTTTTATCTACAGACATTTGATTTTGTTGTAATATTGTCTTTATTCAAAATAACCGAGAATTAGAAAGGCCGTAGTTAGAGAGAGTATCGAAGGAACAAAAGACTCGGGGGAGGAAACAAAGAAGAAGAGTTTTATGAAATACTCATACATAGAACAGAATAATTTAAGTAAATTAAATCCTACTCAAAACTTACTCTAATGTGGCTACTTGCATATATTTATAGGATGAAACAGTCCATTGTCACAGTAATAAGGAAGAACAGGAACTACGCTGAGCCCTACTTTACAATAGTTCTGTTATAACAGAAAATATGTGAATGAATAGATGATATAAAATAAATGCATAAAATACATACCAAAAAAGAGTCTTTTTCGAGTCGCTTTATTGAGCAAGTTTTCCGGTGGTAGACCAAATATTTCCATAATGCATGCTAACTGTTCCACTTCGTTTTCGCCAGGAAAAAGCGGATAACCCGTGTACAATTCGGCTAGGATGCATCCTAAGCTCCACATGTCAATTTGCGTTGTGTACGGAACGCCGAGAATAACCTCCGGTGAGCGGTAAAAGCGACTTTGAATATATGTGTAAACTGCAAGTAAAAATGAAAACCGAGCGGTAATTAATCACCAGAAATCGATATGAAGACGCGCATGCGCAGACAGAGAAGGAAAAGGTGATTGAAATATACATTTGTATGCGATAATTGTGTTCATTTTCTTAATTTTAGATAACAAAACAATAGAAAAAAAAATTTAACAATTACAGAAATCTGTTTTGAAAAGTAATTAAAAAAAGAAGCCTTAACCTAGGCAGAAGCATTTGTACAACAAAATAAATTTATTATATAAACTGGAGCACTCAAGATCATTATAGGGCCGTAATGGTGACTTAGACTAGCTCAGTCACTATTACCAAACAGGAAAGTAATCAAGTATCAAAAATGTATATATCTGTAAAATAAGTTGAAAAGAGTACTGCGAAGATTTGACTGTATTGACCCACACGCACACTTACCAGGTGCCTCAAGTATTTAGTAATACATCTTTATGAGGCCATAAGTATTCGATCGGGTCCGATTAGAAAATTAAACGCAAAATTTTACGTACTCACAACCTCCCCCCACCAAAAAAAAAAAACACTTCTGAGCCAAGTAGATAATCTCCATTGTTTTTAGAAGCTGTCTCCTATCGTTCTATAATCTTGTTGATGCCATTTTTCGCAGAAACTGTGTGTTTTTTCTTGGAGATGGTTTTCGACTGAGCGCATAGATTCAATTTTTTGCCGTTTAAATTGTTTTGTTCATAGCGGAACAAATGAATACCCAAATGAGCCAAATCAGGAGCATACGGTGGGGAATGAAGGGTTTACTGATTCCACACTTTACGCTTCTGCGAGGTCTGTTTTGCAACAGGCAGTCTTGCGTTGTCGTGCTGGAAAATGAAACCCTTTCAATTTTCCAAAATCGGTCATTTTCTTTGAACCCAAGTCTCTTCAAATGCGAAAGGCAGTTGAAATACCGATTTTCAAACTTACATAGCAATTTCTTCCGTTGAAATCGGTTTATTCGCCACGATAACAAGGAGAGCGTCTTTATCGACGTTGGAAGGTCGTACAGAGTGTCGTTGACCGTTTAGGTTAAAATAAACCCTGATGAAGTCTGCCAAACCACTTTTTGATTGCCCAAAGAGCTGGAGAATGATCAAAATAAACATTCTGAATGTTATTTCTCTTCTCGTAGTTACAATACTTACTCCTTTCCGAAATTCATAGAACATAATATGGCGAGAAGGGTAACTTTTCATCGTTCATTTTTAAGGCATTCATTTGTAGAGAAAATATCAACATTCAACAAAGTCTGAATCGCAACTGAACGGTGCAAGGTTTTAATCTAGAACACTCCAGAAATCAGCATCAAAACAAACGCCAGTGTCAAGTTGCGGTTATTTTATATTAACAATGAAATTAACGCACGACCTTTGCTCCGGAAGTAGGCAGTCTAATCTCCCGTGCATCGATATAGCTAAACTAGAGAGACACTTCTGCGGTCACGCGGCCACTATAGTATGTCGCGAGGTCTATTTTTATCCTTCCAAAGTTGGTTTGGGAATACCGGATATCGAGAACCGACGGTGTAAAATTCGCTTAGAATTTCTTGGATGCATACAGAAGATGATAATAACAGCAGAGATTCTGAAAAGAACGGTGCAACAAGTTAAAAAAATTAAAGGACTTTTGAGATTCCTTTAAAAGGATATGACAGGTAACTGGATGAAAACATCTCATTCCAGATGATCAAAGCAAGTTCTATGCTAATAGTTTCTTCTCTTGCACTTCCCGCCAGTGAAACTCTCCTCCGGTTGCCTGCTTGCCAGTCAACTACGATCTTCAAAGATTTAAATGCAATATCGACCATCTTGTATCAATTTGAATCCTGTTATTTTATTGTCCTCTCTGATACTTTTATTCTCAGCAAGTCTTTGCAACTTAGTGTCTTTATCGCCTTGCTTGGAGTGAAAAGATTAAAATAATGAATGGTTTTGGAAGGTGACCGAATGCACTAGAAACCTGATGACGGTAGAGCCGTTGATAAAGCCAATAAAGAAACACAAATAGACTTAATGGTGCATGCATTAAACATTTGAAGCCTATTTAAAGTTTAGGTTTCCTCTTGTAGGCTGGAGAAGCACTGACATGACAACAAAAAAGGCGGGCTAACTATGAAGATTATTTAGATTATCATTATTTCACTAATAAAGGCTCTTATGACATTTGGGTATCTGTAAACTCACACGAAGCAGTTTTATACTAATACTACTATTTCACGAACTAACTGAATGAATGAAAAGTAAAAACACTTTTAAACTAATTACACATCGAATCTGAAAGAAAAAAACTACACATCTAAATACACCTACAAGATCAGCAACGGAAATGACGTCACTAGGTAAAAAAACAAAAACAATCTTAAATGCCGATTTTATTTACCGCATCTAGGGTACCGCCAAGGACAAAAACTGGCTCGTCCCCGTGACGATTGTCATGCAGGCATCGATATCAGACCGACACAACTTCTCTTAGTCCAATGATAAAAGAGCACTTTTCCCACCTAAAATTGGAACAGATACTAAGCTTTGATCCCAACCCGAATGCTAATGTTTCAAACACAGGGGTTTTTAAAGTACTTCTAACCACCCTGCATTTCACTACATTTAATATATCGGACTAAGATTCATAAATGTTCATTCAGATTTCTTTTTCACTCACCCATCCCTACCATAGGCCAGCAGTTACCAAACTCTTCTCGCAGACCAATTACACAAGAAGCGATTTCGATCCGTACAGGGATAATAGTGGAATTGCCAACAATACATTTTATAGCAAAATGACCAGCAATACGTTTTATCTGGAGTTGAAGGAATACAATGGTGCTAAAAATATATTTAGTTGAAGCCATAAAATTGTGATCAAAATATTTACATTTCGAAATTAAATACCTCATAGAGGTTGATATGCCGCTAAAAAAAAAAAAAAATCAATAAACCAACCAGCACATAAGAATATTAAAAAAACAATTAATATTCCAATATTAAAAACGGTGTAATTAAACATCACGTATTTAGGAAATAAAATAACATTTATCGGAATAATTTCACATCATTCTTTCTTCAATGAATTTTAGAGAATAAAAATGTGCGATTATTTCGAAATGAACTTGCACCAGTTTTCATGAACGTAGACAATAATACTTTTTACTGATTAAGGAATACCCTACTTGCATCATACAGTCATATTTAGATTGAAGAAAAGAGTAAAATGTCTTTTTTTTTTTTGCACAATGGTAATATTTTAAAGTTAAATACTAGAGCTGTATGACAAGCAATTCCGTGATGGATTTTTGACGTACTTGCAAGACAACGAGAATCTAAAGACGAAATCAAAGCCAAAGGTGACATGCCGGAAGAAACGTGTCTATGCACTTGATACAATAGGCAGAATACAAAGTTAATACAATCTTAAAATGTCAAGCTTTAAATTCGTGATGTAGCATACTGAGACATCACCCCCCACCCGTACACCTTTATTCTTTAACTGCCACTTGGTGCGTGTTCACAATGAAAGTTACTTATCTTTGTTCACAAAACGGGAAAAGATTTTTTTTTGTGGGGAACAGGAAGCATTGCTTTCATTCGTGCAACCAAAGAATTTTTTTTTTATATTCGCAGTTTTATCACCAGTCACGATAGCTTAGTGGTAGAGGCCGGGCTACATTTAACCTTCATTCGTAAGCAAAACTTAGTCGAGCATTCGACTTTACGAAATTCTCTAAAGACGTGGCTTGTAAAATTTCTTTCCTCACGAAGAGTTCCAATGAATACAATTCTGAAATTGTCATGAACAAAATATTTATTAGCGTCAAAGAAGAAACATTAATATTCCAAATTTGGTTCGGAAAGCAAAACTCTTTGTTTGTGACGTAGTTAGTACGATTCGACCGATCCATTCTTCAGTCTTCGTTATATTTATAATGAATCAGGGAAGACATAACATGCAGAAAAATATTAACCTGTATAGAAGTAGAAATAACAAAATAATCTAATGGATGTAGGTAAATATTTCCAGATTTTTTTTAATTAAAATGATTTATTAATAACAGAATTGAAATTATGTGATCTTAAGCCAACGTCATGGATTTTTTTTCTAAATTCTTGATAAAACAAGGCAATAAAGTTATCCATGGTATTTTTAAGCATGAAAAACAATTTCAAACTTTTGTCCAAATAAGGAATGCTACACTAATAGAAAAAGATGGTAACGCAAAGTCTATTGAATATGTAAAGTGAAGAATTTCTCATTCGAACTCTTGTGGGCTGTGTATCATAAAACAACGTATAAATAAGTGTTGTAATGAAACAGTCAATCTTTGGGGTTTTCATGTCTAATCACTTTTCTTCAATTACAGCGCTTAAACTTTGAACATGGCTATAAGACTACAACAAAAGTTTCATCAAACTTAAAGAATTTATAATACAAAACACTTTTCTATTCCACCGAATAAAGAACTAACATTTTTTTTAACATTTGATTTTCTTTATGATGCTGAAGTCTTTTCTGGAACAATTCCTTATTTTTGATCCTTTGAATTATTGTAGTGAAATCAATTTTCATCTCAAGAGACAAATTTACACACAAATCATTTTCATGTCTGACAGGGAGTGGTGAGATTTATTTTATTTCTTAATCATTTCATCTCAAACAAGGCGATAAAGCCACTAAAACGCAAAGGTTTGCTGAGAGTGAGGGAAACTCAGAAAACGTTATTGAGAAGAAAGGGCAATAAAAACAGGGAGACAGATGATGACGATTGACACTGCATTTAAATTTTTGAAGATCATAGTTGACAGGAAAGCAAGACGCTGGAAGAGAGCTCCACAGGCGAGAAGTGCAAGAGAAGAAACTTATAGAACTTACGGTTACATTTAGCAATTTCAACAGTAAAATGATGAGATTTAACTGCCAATCTAACACAACACTTAAGTTCGTGAAGTCGAGATACCTAAGAACAAAGTCCATAAATAGTGGGGAGACATC